TGGAGGAGCCACCAGAATATGGCATACACTACAGCAGTGATGGCGAACCTTTTAGAGACCGAGTGCCCAAACTGCAACCCAAAACCCACATATGCATCCTCGAGTGCCGGGTGGGTGTGGCCCAATGGCTGGGTGTGGCCAATTGGATGGGCGTGGCCCATTGGGTGGGCGTGGCTGTGGTGGTAACGGCAGACTGGGTGGGACTAAAAAGTTCAATCAATCAATTCCAACTTTGTAAGATCTTTTTTTCCAGAAGTTGAAATTGACTGAACTTTTTTTTTTTTTTTTTGCACATGGTGGCGGAGGCCTAAAGCGAAAAGGTTTTATAAAACCCAGCTGAAGGCCTAGGACTGGGGTGACGGCAAGTGTGCCCAAAGAGAGGGCTCTGAGTGTTGCCTCTGGCACCCGTGCCATAGGTTCGCCACCACTGCAGTATAGGAAGCCCAGTTCTGGAATGGATCATCCAAAACATACAGAATAAAAACTTCCCTTTTCTGCAGTATTCCCAGTCAGTCCATAGTTCTGGGGGAACCATTTTGGGACGTGTGCATTATTCAAATATTGGGGAACGGGATAGTCTGACGCAGTTTAAAAAGGCAGAACTAAATCCGAGTAGAAGCTTTCTTGCAGTTTCTTGTATAAACTTTCCTATGAATAATAAGAAATAATAATTTTATCATTTTAGAAATAATTTCTAAAACCTACAGCTATTTTTCGTACATCAAAAAAATGTTCATGTACTATTTTTGTACATCAACAAGGAGCAACAAATGCAGAGCAATGTATTCGGGAACTGGAATACATACATACATACATACATACATACATACATACATACATACATACATACATACATACATAGAATACATGAAACTGCCTCACGCGCGTCTGAGGTAAAAAGGACAGCCCACCGCCGTCCCAGCCCGCTGCCTCGCGCCTTCTGAAACTGCGCATGTCCTTCCTTGCGGGAGGGCGCATGCGTATCGCCGGGGTCGAAGCTCGGGATGTTCCCTGGCGCGGGCGCTGCCTCCTGGCGAGGCTTGAGGAGGAAGGGCGAAGAAGAGTGGTGTGAGGTGACCCGCGCGTGCGCAGTGACGTCCCCGCCCGGCGCTGCCCCGAGGAGTTGAAGGCTGACGGCCGTGCCGGCCTGTCCGTCGCGGACCCCGGAGGCCTGGGCTGGCAAGTATCGGTGGCCGTCTGGGCTGGCTGGCTGGAGGAGAGAGCGGCCTCCCGCTTTTCTGTCCGGGGGATCCGTCTCGGGCTTCCACGGATTGCGGATATTCCCCGCTTCACTTTCCCCTGTTTTTGGCGTCCTCTCGCCCCCTCCCACTTCGCGTCGTGGGCCTGACTACAAAGCCCATTGCCCACCGCTTGCCCCGCCGCTCCTGTCGTGCCCCCGCGGCTGGGCAGGAGGGATGCTGTGGTCCCTCAGGTCGGGCGGGTCTATTTCCCCCCTTAATGCCATTGGCGGGTTCTGCCCAGGGAGGCCGGGCCGCCTCTTTGACGACCCCTGGCCAGCAAGGGGTAGTGCATGGGGATGATGGGAGTTGTAGTCCTCCCGAGACACCTGGACGGGGCTCCTTGCCCGAATCCTACTACGTGCAAGACTCCTTTGCAGGAATAATGATAATAATGATAATAGCAACAATAATAGTAATAATAGTATTAATAGTGTTAATAATAATTAATAATAATAATAATAATTAGTTTTTATTTTGTATAAATCAAGGCAGTGGTATTTAATGCTCCTGCTTCCTGTTTTCCTCCCAATACCAACAACCCTGTGAGGTAGGTTGGGCCAAAAGAAAGCAGCTGGCCTCACCGGTTTTCAGGTCTGATTGATAATAACAACATCAGCCCATCACCCACCATCTTTCCATTTCTGGGGAGTCCTTGGTTCTCTCTCAGCTTGGTTGTTTACTTGCAGGCATTTCATTACTCAGCTAGGTAATAACAACATTGTCTGCGGTTCAGCCCTGAGCGACTGAGACTCTCTGCTACAGGTAGTCCTCGACTTACAGCAGTTCGTTTAGTGACCCTTCAAAGTTAACTGGCACGGAAGAAAGTCAGTTATGACCATTTCTCATACAATCATTGTAGATCCCCATGGTCACGCGATCAAAATTCAGATGCTTGACAACTGGTTCCTATTTATGATGGTTGCAATGCCCCGGGGTCATGTGATCCCCTTTTGTGACCTTCTGACAAGCAAAGTCAATGGGGAAGCCAGATTCACTTAACAACTGAGTCACTGACTTAACAACTGCAGTGATTCACTTAACAACTGTGGCAAAAGGGTAGAATGGGGCAAAATTCACTTAACAAATGTCTCACTTAGCAATTGAGCACTTGGGTTCAATTGTGGTCATAAGTCAAGGACTACATGTATTGGACTCTCCATTTCTTCTCCTCATGCCATTTTCCTGCCTTTTTCACATTATACCCAAATCTTTAAATTTGGAACCTGCTTTGCAATCCAACACTGCTGTACTCCAATGCTTTTTGGATTTGAAGCTTTTCCCTTCTGTTTTTTCTGTTTGATCCATTACTTTGAAGCTTTTCCCTACCCCGCAGGGAAATGTTTATAATATTTTAAGGCACTCCATTTGAAAAAGTTTCCTTCTCATTCAGCAAGCAAATAGATACTGCTAGCAAGCAGTTCAGATGTCAGTGGAGAGATAGTCTGTTGCAGCACATCAAACAAGAACAATCTTCTGAGTTAATCTCCTTATCAGAAGCAGTCTAGTGCAGTCATTAGAAGCCTATTAGAAACTATCAGTCATGAAGTTATTTTTTCAGGCTTTGCTGCACCTACAAGGTTGTTCAGTAAATTTAGTTAATATATGATTTTTTTCAGAACTAGATATTTCTGTTCTGGGAATTGGGGCGATAACACAGACATTTCTGACAGTGCTTCAATAAAGTTAAAATAAACATGTTCTACAAAGTAGCATAGTACTTCTAAACTGAAGCATGAGTTCCATTGCATTTCAGACATTATTTTAAACACAGTTCTCCGGAGCAATTGGCAAGAGGATGAAATGAGTACTGAACAGCATATAGTAGTAATTCTGTTCCTAGATGACATGATTTAGTGAGAGGTTCCTACATATTGTAATGTTTTGGGCTGCTTGACATTATATCTCAAAGAGCTTTCCTTACAAATAGTCTCAGACTTTTGAAAGTTTGTAATTCATCCTTTTCATCTAGGTCTTATTACTGCAATTGCAGATAAAGTAGTTCTGGTTTGAAATATGAGCCATTTGTGAGTTAATTTGGATTCATATTCAGTACATGTATTGATTTATACTTTATGTAATCTATATTGACTGTTGTTGAGATCTGAGTTGATTTATGAGAAAGTAAGTTTCTTCATATTGTTAATTTTATGCTAGGAGCCCTTGCTATTTATAGAAGAGGTCACAGCCTGATGTTCCAGAACCCTATATTAGTTTCCCAAAGCTATAGGCTTGGCATCCAGATCCTCTGTTATGGAGGGAATATTATGAATAATCATATTATCTTTAGTTGAATTTAGTAATCAAATTAATTTTTGTCCTGGCATCAACCTCTTCACAAAACCTTACATCTTACTTCAGGTTATGATTATTTTAATCCCTATAAGCAGTTTTGCTACCACCTCTTCAGATTGTTCCTTGATGCTATTCTAGAAATTAACCCCAGAATCATGATCATTAAGTTTAGTTCAGGCAAAACTAAACCTTGATGTTCACAACATTAAACTTGTTTTGGGCTCCCAAACATATGAACAATTGATTAGAGTAACCTGTCTGTTTTCCCTTTCTTTCTGTAAATCAGTAGTTTCTATCAGGCTAAACATCTATGCATCAGTTTTTCATTAAGCTGAATGATTTGCACAAACCATTTCAAAACACAAATCATGATTTATGATTCTGTTTTTAGCCAATCATAAATTATAATTTGATAGTTGCAGTAACTAGACTAAACATTAATGATGGTTTGGTGTAATATCTCAGGGCAACTGATTTTGCAATTCTTCTACATATTATTCTATAATGTTAATTCTCTGTACTGTACTACTGTCTAACTCATATTAGACAGTAAATTGATTTGTATATTGATGGTCCTATATTTAAAAAAACAGCATGTATCAGATAAAGATCTTAAATTGTATTTTAACTGCACAGACAAAAATGAAAAACTGTCCAGTTAAATGTTTGTTAATAAAAGATCCATATTCTTATTTCATTGGCATCCAGTCTGATTTCTTTGGAAAATTCTTTTTCATAGTATATAACCATTTGCTTTGCCATCACCGGCACTCTTAAGTTAATGTTTTCTTTGGTTTACTTTGGTCAGTAGTATTTTGGTGATGCTGAAGCATTGTTGCAGTTGTTGTAAGAACTTTGAAAAATATGAGAAAAGATAGATGTTTGAAAGATAAAATTTTAGTTGTGGATACTTTGTATTTTGTGATATTTTTTTGTTAAAAATGTTTGAATGCTAAGTAAAATGTACATTTATATTTATTAATTTGTAGAAACAGAAATGAATAATATAAAATAAGAAAGAAAACGACAGAAAGTAAATTAGAAAACTAGAATAGTTTGGGCTGGCATCTCATTGGGGCTGAGAATAGGCTTGGCATGTTTGTGGGTGGATGTTGGTCTCACTTGTGTTTAATGGAAACTATCCCTGCTGAGCTATTGTGATTTCATCAAATGTTTCTACCATAGATTTTATATATTGTATCATCCACACCCCAAACATGAGACTTAAATATTTGGAGCATTGTGTTATTTGTGGTTGCTTCTTCTTGGAATATCTTAAGCACTGATGTTTATTGTAGTCTGGAAGAAACATGTTTAAAGTGATTTAATATGATCTTGGAAAGTAAACATTTTCAGGATCCGTATGAATTTAAGAATGATTAAGGACAAATATACTCCATTTATAATCATAACATTGATTTCATTGCTTCACTTATAGCTATCTTTTCTGTTCTTTTGTCAGATTACCAATTTCTCATGTCTTCACAATGAGACAGGCCTGGGGTTATTTCTTCCCTACACCTTGTAGTTGATAGTTTTAGATGCCGAGACAATGCTGGCATAGATATGGCAGATAGCGTCAAGATCTTCCTTAATGATCTTATCAGGGTAAGCACTTCCTTTTATTTTTGTTGTTATACATGACAGTGCATTTAAGATAAGACTGGATTTCAGAGTGTTTCAGCCACTAATATTTATGTTAGCTCCCATAAATCTGTCTTTAGCAGTATGAAGAAGGGAAATTTTAGGACTTTATTCACAAACTTGAATATGTGTAATTATCAAGCAAAATCCATCTCAGTACCAATTCTGTGATTATTTCTCAGTCTTTTGATTCCTTTTATTTTTGTTGTTATACATGACAGTGCATTTAAGATAAGACTGGATTTCAGAGTATTTCAGCCATTAATATTTATGTTAGCTCCCATAAATCTGTCTTTGGCAGTATGAAGAAGGAAAGTTTTAGGACTTTATTTACAAACTTGAACTATGTGTACTTATCAAGTAAAATCCATCTCAGTACCAATTCTGTGATTGTTTCTCAGTCTTTTGATTAAGCTCAGGTATAGTATCCATGTGTCTAACTCTATGATTCTTAGTAAATGGAAAGAGAGAGTTCCTGAACTGTGATGCCATTATATTAGTGATCAGATAATGAATAACAGGATAACAGAACAGAATAATAGAGTTGGAAGAGACCTTGTAGGTCTTCTAGTCCAATCCCCTGCTCCGGCAGGAAACTATACTGTTTCTGACAAGTGGTTGTCCAGTCTTGCTTTAAAGAATTAGACTTAACTAGAAAATCACTGGGTATTTGCTTAGACATTTCATTTAGAGAAAAATCAGCAGAAACAATATGTTTATGTCTCTAGGGAATTAAAGATTCCATATGGGGGATCTGTACAATCTCCAAGCTGGATGCTCGGATCCAGCAAAAAAGGGAAGAGCAGCGGAAGAGAAGAGCAACTAGTGTGCTTGCCCAGCGAAGAGCACAAAGCGAAGAGAGGAAGCAAGAGAAGTAAGTTCCAATCTTGGGGATTGTGTCGTGCCATCAGTAATCATCTATCAGTGTTTTACCATCCAGATAGCAATAACAACAGCACTTAGACTTATATACCGCTTCACAGCGTTTTACAGCCCTCTCTAAGCAGTTTACAGAGTCAGCCTACTGCCCCCAACAATCTGGGTTTTCACTTTATCGACCTCGGAAGGATGGATGGCTGAGTCAGCCTTGAGCTGGTAAGACTCGAACTGCTGACAGTTGGCAGTCAACCGAATAGCCTGCAATACTGCATTCTAACCACTGCACCACCACCAAAATGGTACCAACCCCCTAGAAGTCACATCTGCTAACATAGTCTGTGTACAAATTGGATCCTGCAAACGTTGGTAGGGATTTTTATTTTATATTGGCCAAATTAAATGAGGATTTTGAAATATTCTTTTATGTGGAACTCTCTAACAGTGTCATTTGAGGGACCGACTATGTTCTATATAGCTGTTTAGTTTCATCATGAAAGCCACTGGATTCTTTGTAGGAAGAGATTTGGAATGGAGATTTTAAGATACTATTTTTAGTCTCTTGCCCAGTAGCTTCTGTGGTTGTAATTCATGTTTTAAAAAAGTTGACATTGTGAAAAAGAAATTTAAAAAGTCTGCAAATTTATCTTAGGTGCTAAATAACAACCAGTTTTACATGTACATCTGTATGACATTGAATAGTTAAACAGTGAATGTATAATACAGAAAAACAAGGAAAACTGGAATGTAAAAATCCAACTTTTGAAACACCTTTTTTTCCAAATGAGGCTCCCAACAATTTGAAATTTAATGAGGATAATGGAAATTTATACGTTTGCATTTTTATGGTTGCAAATAGATTGAAACCACCAAGCTGAAAGAATCTGCTGCCCTATCTGAAGCATTCCCCTCTCTTTCTGTGTTTAAAAACAGATGTGTTTTTTGAAAATACATGTAGTTTTGGTTTTTACACTTTCTTCTACTTTTCTTTAGTGAACCCCGGATAGTAAGCCGAATACTTCAGTGTTGTGCATGGAATGGAGGTGTATTTTGGGTAAGAATAATTTTGCTTCTTTTTTAAAAAACAGCAACATAATTGAATCAATTGCTTTATTTATTCTTTTTGCAAATATGCTTACTTGCCTGAAGTTTAGAATTGGATAATGCTTCAATCTGAAAAAGCAAACTGAATAGTGATTGAAATCATTACTACTTCCCAGATAAGGGATAGTTAACATTTATTTAGCCTTGGTAGATGCAGTATTATCCCAATCAGATTTTAATATAAATAAAAATAGCCATGCAACCCCAGGAAATATATGTGTGAGTTAAGAGGCCACTCATCAATTTTTGTCATCTCAAGTACATCTTTTACTGGAATTGTGCAACTACAGCACTATGCAACTCCTAGAAAAGGTGCAAATTGTTTAAGGGAGTTCTTAGGAATTATGGGATGTGGTTTTATATCTTTTCTAAAGTTCTTTTTTGGCTTTGGATCCAAAGAATTTTATATGTTTATAGAATTTTTTGTTTCTTTTTGCTGTTCCCCATGCCCCCCCATTATGATTTTCCCATAGAATTATTGATGCATGTGCTGGAGCTGTCACATTTGTAAAGATAAATTATTCATATATTTACTTGTGTATGTACTTGTGGAAAACCATGAAATAAGTGCTAAGATATCAGGTTTGAAGATTTAGTTATAGAAAACAGATTACACCTTCTGGATCTTAGAAAACTTACTTTCCCCATAGTAGCACACACATTTAAAAATAGTGATTAAAACTGAATTATTCCTTCTTGGCTGTTGTTGTTTTATTTTGTTTTTTAGCTTAGCCTCCTCTTGTTCTATCGGGTTTTCATACCTCTGCTTCAGTCAGCAACAGCACATGTAATTGGTAAGTATATTACTGTTTAAGGCAGTGATGGCGAAACTTTTAGAGTGCCCAAACCGCAACCCAAAACCCACTTATTTATTGCAAAGTGCCAGTGCCGCATCAGGATTGTGGTGCCCTCACGGGGGGGGGGCATGTGGGAGTGGCCCACTGGGTGGGCGTGGCCCACTGGATGGGGATGGCTGCGGTTGTCATGGCAAACTGGGTGAGCGTGGCTGGGGTGGGCATTGCCACCTCGATGTTGCTCATGGGGGGGACGCCTGTGGGGGCTGGGCAGGGTTGGGGGAGATCCAGGGGGTCTCTGGCAGGTGGGGTGGTGGGCAGGAGGCCCAGCATAGATGGGGGGGAGGAACGCAATCCTAGCTGGGACTGGGGGGCCATGGTGCCGATGGGGATCCAGCTTTCCCTGCTCAGGGTGGCCTTTGGCTTGCTGGGCGTGGGCGTGCTCTACCACCTCTACTCGAGCTCGCTAGCTGGCCGCTTCACCTCCTTTGTGCCTGGTGGGGCTGCCGCTCTGGGCAGCGGCGGCGGCCTAATGGACCTGCGCAAGCTGCCGGCAGTGGTGGCACGCGTGCCCACAGAGAGGGCTCTGAGTGCCACCTCTGGCACGCGTGCCATAGGTTCGCCACCACTGGTTTAAGGCATTTGTCAAATAAATAATTGTTTATCTAGCCTAGGCAATTACGTTATGATGGACAAGTGTACAATTTGTTGAGCTGAACCTATCCTACTCTTCTCTTCCCTTGGCCTCAAATTTTCAAAACTGGAACACAGTACTATATTTGTAAAGGTGAAATAATACTCTTGAATGAAAGGAGGCGATAATTATGGTCCTAGCTACATTTACCGATCTGCTATCAACTTGTGACCAGTAGAGGAGATTTGTAGAGGGAAGATGCATTTTCTTTTTCTGATATAACAATTCAGGTGAGGCACCTGAATTGTAATGAATCTGTTTACTTACTACTGTTGAAAATGCTCTCTCTGTTTTGGAAGGTGATCCGTCATTGCATGGCGATGTCTGGTCTTGGCTGGAATTTATCCTGACCTCCATCTTCAGTGCCCTGTGGGTCCTCCCCCTCTTTGTGCTCAGTAAAGTGGTCAATGCCATTTGGTTTCAGGTAAGTCGTTTTTTGAGGAAATCAATAACTTGTTGACCTACTGCTTCTTTGGTTACCTACCTAAGACATACCTTGATACACAGGTAGTCCTTGTCTTACAACCATGTGTCGTGACCATTCAAAGTTACAACAGCACTGAAAAAAGCGACTTACAATTGTTCCTCTCAACGACTGTCGCAGCACCCCCATGGTCACGCAGTCGAAATTCAGGTGCTTGGCAACTGGCATATATTTCTGATGGTTGCAGAGTCCTGGGGTTGTGTGATTGCCATTTGCAACCTTCCCAGCCAGTTTCCAACAAGTAAAGTCAAAGGGGGAAAGCCAGATCCGCTTAATGACGGCCTAGTTCACTTAACAGTTGCAGTGATTCGCTTAACAAGCATGGCGGAAAAGCTCTTAAAATTGGGCGTGACTCATTGAACAACCACCCTGCTTAGCAATGGGAATTCTGGTCTCAGTTGTGATCATAAGCCAAGGACTACCTGTATTATTGTCCTGTGTTTTTTGAGGGATGTTCAAGACAACCATCTTCTTCCATTTTATTCAGAAGTAAGTCTGGTTATTCTGTTTCAGGACATTGCTGATCTGGCATTTGAGGTGTCAGGAAGGAAGCCCCAGCCTTTCCCCAGTGTCAGTAAAATCATTGCCGACATGTTGTTTAACCTCTTACTGCAAGCTCTCTTTCTCATCCAGGTAAGAATGGGCCTAAAACACTCAATCCAGATTATCCAGACACTTAAGAGTAATAGACGTTGGTATTTGAAGGACAGAACTGTACATTCGGCAGATCTTAACAAGAAATAGAGCCCAAGGTAGAGAAAAGGCAGAGAGGACCTGGAAAGAAAAAAGGAATGAATTTTGCCATATTTTTATAAAGAGGTCACTAGCCAGTTTGACTTATGTGGTAGTTCTCTCCCAGTCACAACCTTTGGGAGGATAGGTTAACACTACTATTTTTTCAAAGCTGTTTATAATGGAGAGTTCTTGGAATCATGTCCTCCCGCCATGCACGAGAGAACTCCAGACCAGGTTTTTTGCTCAAATGTGCATAGCTGGGCTTCTAGCCAAGAATGATGGTCATGGACTTTGTTGCCCTGGGATCCAATGCTCTAATATTGGGAGTGGAGCAGAGTGTACCAAGGAAGACGAGACTCAAGTATATACAGTTAACCCTTGACTTATGACCATAACTGGACAGGAATTTCAGTCGTACGTCGAGGCACCATATGACCAGATTCAATTATAGGATTGCTTTTAGAGTCATGGTTAAGCAAGTGCAGTATGTGGTGGTAGGTAAGTGCACTATGTGGTGGTAGGTACTAAGCCATTTTATCCAGTGGATGTTTTTTGCCAGAAAACTGCAATAAATGTCACAATGCTGCCACTGGTCATACATGTGAGCCAATTGCCAAGGGCCAGAAATACAATCATGTGACCATGGGGGAGGGGTTATGCAGCAGACCATGGGGGAGGGGTTATGCAGCAGTCATAACGTTGTGAGTAACTTGAATCTATTGTAATGCAAATGGTCATTAAGCAGCAATTGGTTGTAAGTTGAGGACTACCTGTACTGTCTCTTCACTTGTTTAGTTTCCTGGGCTTTTTAACAAGGTACAGAATTTGAGTTTTCTGTGGAAGGGAATGCTCTTTCAAACTGAATTTGTTTTACTTTCCCCAGGGGATGATTGTCAGCCTGTTTCCTATTGATATCATTGGGCAGTTAATTAGCCTGCTTCATATGTCCCTGCTCTACTCACTATATTGCTTTGAATACCGTTGGTTTAATAAAGGTAAGTCCTGCTGATTTTCCACTGTGTAACTAAAAAAAAATAAAAATCCTCTCCTTTTGTTGTTCAGTGCTGGGGTTGCTTGGTGCAAATGTATACAGATCCCAGTAACACTCTTCCTACAGGGTCTTTGCAGAGTTCTTCAGTGGCAGAAGCAGGGCTGAAAAATTAAAGAGTACATTTTATTCTCTGCCTGTTGCTGGTGGTGGCTGGTGTTCTCCGTTATCACCAGTGATCAATAAACTACTGATATATGTGCGGATGGAGGTGTATTTACATAATACTTCCTAGACTATGAAGATATCTAGGAAAAAATATTGGGATCATAATTACTGGAATAGGAAAGCCAGTATTATATCACAGCATTAATGCTTTGAACCATGTGTTTTGGGCTTTTCTCTTGCTAGGCATTGAAATGCATCAACGATTATCCAACATTGAAAGGAACTGGCCTTATTACTTTGGATTTGGGTTACCACTGGCCTTTCTCACTGCAATGCAGTCTTCTTACATTATCAGGTGACTTACTGAGAAACTGGAGTCATGCCATCCCTTTTCTTCTCTGTGGGAGGGAGAGGAGGACAAGTAGGTGGGGAATTAATGGAAAGAGACCTGGTGTAAATGTTAATGCGGAAGGAGAAAAAGAAATCTCCTCGGAACAGTGATAGAAGCAAAGCCTTTGAAAAGCTGGGCGTGGGATATTGTTGTTGGGAGCCCACAAAGGTTTAATTGAGATGTATGGCTTTTTTCTTCTGGATATCCATGATGTCTTTTTCTATTTTATCGTTTCCTCCTTCTTAAAGTCTAAGCCACTCAAAGTCATTTACAGTCAGACAATCTCTAAATCATGAATGAATGAATGAATATTCCATGATACGGTGCAAGAAAACCAAGACACTTTCTTAAAATTGGTGTACAGTACTATTTCCTATTTCCAATTATGCCAGAATATTAATCTGGGCAGAACATGGATGCTGGTCTTTCTGCTGCTTATTTGTTGAGCCGTTCCATGCGTCAGCAGTAGGGGACAAGAGGGATTCTTCTATATAAAAACATGGATAGTATATAAATATAATAAATTGTTGTGATATAAGAGAAGTTATATTAAGTGGCAAGCTGTATGAAGAAGGATGTGGATACAGCATCTGTATGCTGGATATTTGGATTGTTCTTTGTTATTTTGTATTTAATTATTTGTTAAATGTATATGCCGCCCATCTCATCAATAAGGCGACTTTGGGCAGCTTATAAACAGTAAAAGATAAATATAAAAACAATTAAAATTAAGAAAAGGTACATAAAAACTCAGACCACGTTTTTGGTTTAGTATGAGCAATTGTTTCAGTGATTGAAGGAGCATACAGTTCAATAAATACAGTCTGACATCTTCTAAACGTAAAGCACATCATTTGGGAAAAAAAAGTTCATTCACTATAGTGCCCTCTTCATTTTCTCACACACATGTACAGTATGTGTGTGCATGTATGTAGGTGCTTGGATTCTCAGATCTTGTTAAGACATGATTTACTCTAGCTGGAGTTTATCACAACAACGATAAGTGTAGCCCTAAGCTGATTACCATAATTTAAAAACCATATTAATTAATGCAATTAATTAATTTCTTGGTAGCATAAATGCTAATAATGACATTGAAATTGATTTAATTTAAGGATGTAAAAAAAAATCTGCACCAAAATAGAAAGGTTTAAACTCACCCCTGCACTAGTGGCCGGTCCTAAATCTGCATTGAGAATAGACTTTTCATCTAGCCAATTGCATGTAAATGGAATTGTGTTCCTATTCTGTGGTTTATGCATTCTCCCTTTTTAGTCTGCAGAGACCTGTGCATAACATCTGTTTTCTCTCCCCATCTCCCTTCCCCACAGCGGGTGCTTGTTCTCCATTCTTTTTCCTCTATTTATTATCAGCGCCAATGAATCGAAGACACCAGGAAGAGCATAGTAGGTATCCATTTCCTTTTTCAGCAGACGTAACTCAAGGACGACCTATATGTGTAAAGGCTTCTGCCCCAATGAAGTAGATTATACTGTATACCATTTTTTGCCCCGATAGCTATGGATAGTCACTTGCAAGGCAGAAAAAAATTGTACCACTTAGAAACCTGCGCTACTTATACACTTTTATACCTAGGTCTAAAAGTTTTGTTTATTATTTATTCATTAAATTGGTTTGCCGCCCAGCTTGCCACAAGGTTGCGTTTCAGCAGTAGAGAAAAATGGTAAGAACTGTCCTCTGACATCATTAATCGGGATTAGGCAGATTTTGTATGTTGAAAGGCCCCAATGCAGCATACAGGTAGTTTTCAACTTACAACCACAACAGAGCCCCAGTTTTCCATTGCTAAGCAAGACAGTTGTGTACATTTTGTCCTGTTTTATGACTTTTCTTGCCACAGTTGTTAAGTGAATCACTGCAGTTGTTAGTAACCCAGTTGTAAAGCAAATCTAGCTTCCCCAATGATTTTTGCTTGTCAGAAGGTCACAAAAGGTGATGGCATGATCCCGGGGGCACTGCAACCATCAGAAATACACACCAGTTGCCAAGTGCAACGGTTGTGTGAAAAACGGTCGTAAGTCACTTTTTTCAGTGCCTTTGAATGGTCCCTAAGCGACTGCTTGTAAGTCAAGGACGACTTGTATGCCCATGAATTAAAGCGATCTTTTTTTATATATAACAAGTTTTTATTGGTTTTCCAGTTTTACATTTAAGTATTTAGAAAGCAGCGTGGTGATTGATTGGGTAGTCAATAGTACAATAACAAAATCTTTAGTACATATCTCAGGTTACATCATCAAAAAATTCCTTCTCTATTTCCCTTAACATTTGCTGTATCATATTTAAGCTAGCAAATTTGTAATTATAACAAGGTCAGTTAAAAGATTTATCAGTATATTTATGCTTATACATATCCATGTCCTGTATTTAAATTTTACCTAATTTTTAATTTTTAATGATAGTATTCCAATTTAACCTTTAATATCCATAGTATTTAAATTTTAGGTAACCCAAATTTCCTTTATTTCACTACATAAAAATTATAGTATCTAAAATACACCTATTAGTTACTTAAATATATTCTTATTTTATTTCATAGACATTTTCTTTCTTTTTTTAAAACAATATTTTATTAGGTTTTAAAGGGGTAGGGGAGGGGTAGGGTCACTATGGGTATTGGGGTTCAGGGTAAGGTTCGGGAGTGGGGTTGGAATAAGGATGGTACAACAGTGGGGTTGCCCCCAGTAACAATTCCATGCTTTAGCAAGCAGACTATTGTCCAGATACAAATATTCAATAGCAATAATTAATATAATAGTAAATAGCTATAATCAATAAGAATAACAGTAATCGTAAAAAGCATCGATTAGTCAATAAATAGCATTCATCTTATTAAATTTCACTGTCATTTCTCGCTAGTTCGTTTTTCTAACCATTGGTAGAAATTTTCCCATGTTTTAAAATAAACTGAGTCTTCTTTCTCTCTAATCTCTAGGGTTAGTCTACCCATTTCTGCACATTCTAAAATTTTCGTAATTGTAATCTGATCAGATGGTAGATTTTCATTTTTCCAAAACTGGGCAAGTGCTATTCTCGCAGCTGTCGATACATGTCATATTAAATACTCATTCTCTTTCCCATAATTGGATCCTAGCATTCCTAGCAAAAACAGTTCGTAGACATTTTCTATTTCTCATCCTAGTACAGTGATGGCGAACCTTTTAAAGACCGAGTGCCCAAACCGCAACCCAAAACCCACTTATTTATTGCAAAGTGTCAGGGCTGCATCAGCATTGTGGTGCCCTCGGGGGGGGGCAGAGAGGCGCCTCTGAGTGCCACCTCTGGCACGCAAAAACCGGGGGCATGCCGCCGCCATGCCGCAGGGTGCAGATACAAGGCACTGCACCATGCAAGAACAGGGCAGGGCTAGTGAGTATCACGCAGGCCCTAGCCCCGCCCCATTTGCAGCGCGTGCGTGCTCGCAGCTCCATGTGCGCATGCACACATGTAAAATGCTTCCCCCTCCCTTTTCTTCCAGTCCACCAATCGACAATGGTTGGTGACCTCTGCTCTACCACCTCTACTCGAGCTTGCTAGTCGGCCGTTTCACCTGCTTTGTGGTGAGCGGGGCTCCTGCTCCGGGTGGCGGTGGCGGCCTGATGGACCTGCTGCTGGTGGCGCACGTGCCAACAGAGAGGGTTCTGAGTGCCGCCTCTGGCACACACGTGCCATAGGTTCGCCACCACTGTCCTAGTACCTCACCACTTACTAACGGAGTATCCTGAATTAAAGGGGACCTTAAGAGAGGTTAAGAAACTAATAGGAGGCTTCTCTTCTGTTTCAGCCATTTCCAGCTGCGCCTCTTTTCCTTGGTCGTCTTCCTTAGCAACAAGCTATTCCACAAGACAGTTTATTTTCAGTCCAGCCTGAGCACCTCTCCGTCTGCTGATCGACTGCCCTCGCCGCGCTCCTCGCCTGCTAGACTGGCACACTGAACCAAGGCAGGGAGGGAGGAAGGAGGAGAACCGTTCAGACAACACAAGATTCTGTGATTCTGAGGAGGGCGGGGAGGGAGGCTTGTGCATTTCCCCTTGTGATCTCTCTTTTAAGCCCCCGTCGGAGGAGGTTGGTTTGCATCTCACCGAGTGGTAAAGTGAAATACATCGGGTGGGTGGGCGAGTGGGTGGGAGGAGCCTGGATTTTTAACACTTTTGTGAGTTTTATTTCGGAAGCCAGGTTCTTCTTCGCTTGTTTTTATAGTGTGTAATGGGCCTGTTTCTGTGCACTTTTTTTGTACATTTCCTTACCTTCTCTCCCCCCCCCCCATTTTCCAGGATGAATGGTTTTTGTAATGCATATTGTCGTAGCTTTCTGATGCTGATGGGGTCTTTACCACAAGTGTTGGATTTTCTTTATATGGTTACCTCAGGTCAGGATTTTGTAATCCCCGTTGTGTGCTGAAATGAAAAGTGGATCATGTAACACTTGCGCAAGGTTAAGATGTCGGGTAGGGTGGGGTGGGGGGTGGGAGGGCTCTTCCTCTTCCTGGCATCTGGTGGCCTCTCTTAACTTTATTTGGTTTTTATTTTGAAGGAATCAGCGTTTGATGGATGCAACAAATTCCTAATCTTAAGGACAGATTGTATTGTTTTGGTTTTTTTTTTTACTTATGTCCTTGGAGCTTTTGAAAAGCACCTTCTGAACTCTGAAAGGGAAATTTGAAAAGTGTACGGGTAAAGTCAGGCACTGAAGCGAAAACTTGTTAATTCTTGTGTCTGGGGTTGTAAAGTTGGCGATATACTGTTAAAATCTTGCAAGAAATAATGCTTCTAAGGAACATATTTATGGATCCTGGGGATGGATTTCGTTTGGGTGGTGGTGGTGAGGGACTTGTACACAAGGGAGATTCCGAAAGATATCTATGGAGAAATAGGTGTTGTTGTTTTGCACAGGACTTCTGCACAAGGCTACATACAGGCCATCGGTGCTAAGCCCAGTATGCAGAACAGAGAATTTTGGTGATGTCAGTTTTAAGGCCTCCAACTCAAATGCTGTTAGGAAGCCTGACCTGGAATAATTGTCCCAGCTGAGTGAGAATGATGTACACCAAAGTGCTCCTGTGTGATTGTAATTGCGACTGAAATTAAGGACTCCTCAGCTCAGGATATGTGATCTTCATATGTATTCATCTGTCCGTGTGTGTGTACATATGTAATTGTGTATGCACAACGAAGTATAATGTGGTCCTGATCTTAGGCAGTATTCTTTATGCATGTCAGTGTCTGTATGGCTAAACATTATGAGATAATTTTTTTTTTTAAAAAAAAAAAGCCCTCTGGTTTTTGTAGAACTGAAGTCAGTCTACAGATAAATGTTTTCTCTTGTATTTTCACACTGAACCATTAAATGAAAATGGGATTAAAAATAAAGAGTGAATTGTGTGACTGAATCATGAAACTCATTTTGAGGGAGATGGGAGAAGGGCAGAATGAAAAACATAAAGCTTTCTGCAAACCGGTTCAAAGAATTCCTGTTCCTGATTCAAACTTTTCTGCTCGGGAAATGACCCAAAGTGGCATTATGGCCAAAAGCAGCAGAAACCATAAAATTATGGTTTCCAGGGAATGAGGGAGAATTGCATAAATGCTGAAAACTACTAGGGATGTCTATATAAATTTTTTTTTAAATGGCATAGGAACATCTGCTTTGAATAGATTAATTTCTGCCTTTAACTACAGAGTTTTTCAGAGGCTGGCCAATAGACACCATCAGATAAATCCAAGAAATTCATTTGCCAAAAAAAAAAAAAGGGAGTGAAAGGTAGAGACAGGTGAGGAAGAAAATGCTGCTGTTGTTGATGTAGTGCCTAAAATTATTTTATTATTTATTACAGTTGTTTATATCTTGTTTTCAAAAAACTAGCAGTCATTAGGGAAGAACTGAATAGAAGGAGCACAAGATCAGAATGCTCAGGGCTGATTTAGAGAATTTGGAAATTATGAATATTACCCTGTAAAGAATACATTTGAAAGAGATGTCTTGAGGCTGCCCTTTAAGTCTGGTAGAACCAGGTTGAGAAATAGGATGGGGGAAAGGCCAAATTTTAATTTTGATAACATTTATATTACTACTCTTGGGGCTGGATGATAAACTGAACTTGGGGTAAATACAATTAACGTGTTTGCACAATAACATTGATTGCCCAAACAAACCACATGCATTAGG